CATATCCATATGCAATACTTTTCAAAACACGATAAACAGTGGACAAAGGGATTCCTGTTCTACTTGAAATCACTTTAGCTGATCTGATGTCCTTGTTATAATATTCAAAAATCAACTTCCTCTTCTCTAAATCATCCATACTGAGGATCACTGAAAATGTCGTCTGCTAGCAAGTAAACAAACTCTTCATAAACTAATGAAAAAGGATTAACGGAGTTGTCTCGCTTGAATGAAACCAAGCACTTGATAGCTGGTCAAGGTTTTTCATACTAGAAATCCAATTAAACATATTCCTAAACTTCTCAATAATTTCTGGTCATACTATATATATGAACAGTTTGTATGCACGCATGCCGGATATGAACTCACGCCCAGCACCATGCCAGCATTGTGAGTACAGGCCAATAAACCCCGTCTGGAACAGGGAACATAAAACAGGAGACTTTATTAAACGGCCTCCTTTGTTGTGCGGTACAAAGCCTTCCACGCCCCATTTCACCGTTACACACAATGTGTGAAGCCCATTTCTGGTGTCCCCCGCCGTGATGTTGCTGGAATATTGCTAAAAAGCGGCGTAAAACTAAACTCAGTCAGTCGACGCTACACGGTAGCACATCTGATACACTTCTGCTACAGTTGCTGCTGATAAAACTACTCCAGAATTTCATTACAAGATACAATTAATAAGTTCTAATTATCACGAAAACACAATGTCAGTTAGGAAGTGGTCAGATGTAACATACATGTTATATTTGCGATTACACTTCCTCAAGAAAGTACAGATTTTATTACACTGTAGTCGAACATGACCGCTACGGAGAGGGTTCAGTCATCATTTGGGATGGCATCAGTAGAGCTGAAATGATCTCTATGTCCAACAGCTAGGCACAATGGCAGGGATGACAGTCTGGACCGGACTCCATCGTCATGGACGCTAACCCACGAACTGATCGTCGTTCATGCCTACATGGTTGCCGGACCATTGTGGAGGGCATGATGTCCTTTAAGACGCCCTATCCTTCAACCAAGTCTAACATGCGTTTTTTTCTATCTCCCCCCCGACATTTCAGCTTTGGTCAGACGGCTGAGCTGACTGATCGTAAGCGTCATGTTGTTTACATACATTATGTGGCACAAGACAACCAACTAATTCCATTAACCATGTCTTCGTGCAAAAATGTCTTTTGCTATTCATGCACATAATTTTGCTAGTCAATGTTTAAAGTTGTGATACCAAATAAAGGTTGAGTAGTATATTTAGATACTACTGAACCAAAAAAGAAACGTCGCTTTTCGAAACCAAATGCAAGATTTTGTACTTACAAAATGGTGTTGTTATTATGATTGTATCGTTTTGTTGACATATTTTGCAATCCAAATTGACACTTATTACCAACATCAGTGTGTTTTCTAATTGAAAAACATATCGACCAAACGCACCTAAAACGGCAGACGTGGTAAAAGGTTCCGTATGACATTCGTGAAAATGAAAATGCACGTGCATATCGTGACAACCCTACCAATGAAATCATGTCCCAAACTTGCCGGACATAATCGCCATGGCACGAATTACAAGAGATCAGAGGAACCAAGACTTCGGACGATTGCAAGTTAGCCAGACTGCCAATCATGTTCATGTTAGGACAATCTACCGACTGCAGGAGTGGTATCAGGTCACTAACAGCATCCAAGACCGTCCACGTAGTGGGCGACCTACAGTAACATCGCAATGTCAAAACCGACAGATTGTGCGCCACCATCTGCGGGGTCGCTTCCACAGAGCGAAGGAAAGAGCACACCAGACCACTAGGACTCACAGCAGACCCATCAGTGCCGATACAGTGCGTCGATGTGTGCACGGAAGAAACCACTGCTGTCACAGACCCTATCATAGTCCTGTCTTCACCGCTCATCACCTCACAAACCGTCTGCAATGGGCAACTCAGCATCGAAATTTGCGTTATCGACAGTGGAGAACTGTGCTTTTATCTCATGAAAGACAATATTGTGTTTCGACAGTCGATGGTAGAGTGAGAGTATGGTGAAGGTGTGGGGACTGTTTTCCAGTGAGTTTATTGTTGAAAGTGACTCGTGGGGTGGTCCAAGCATCATGGTGTGGGGTGCAATCTGTCTGAACGAGATAATTGGCACCGTGGTGTTCCAGAATCTTGGTCCAGGATGAGGAAATAACGTAACAGTTGCTCGCTATATTGACCAAGTCATAAGACCCCATGTACCACATTGTGGACGTTACAGAAATCACGTCTTCCAGCAAGACGACGCTCGTGCCCACACTGCCAGAGTAACATTGGACTTCCTAAAACAACATGGCATCCAAACTCTACAATAGCCTGCACTCAGTCTTGATTTGAGTCCAACAGAACACCTTTGGTACGAGATTCAAAGAAGACTGAATGGCCGCCACCCAAGGCCGACAACTGCTGCTAGACTCGATCAGGTATTTCACAGAGTATGGAGCCTAAGTGCATATGGCCTTCATCAACCGGCTAATTCATTCCATGTACAGACGACGCAACGCTTTCATCGATGCCCATGGAGGCCACACACAATACTGACTTTGGGGTACCTTAATGGTACCACTTTTGGTGATTTTGTTTGTGTGAACTCTAAATGTGATTCCTGAGAATGTGTTAACCATAGGTGTCAAGTTTGAACTCAGTCCTCCGTTTTGATTGATAATTAGAGTGAAATAAAGTGTGTGCTTTAAGAAACCACTATCGGTGCGACATTTCTTTGTGCTTCAGTATATATAAGTGACGCTAGAAGTGACTTGTACCAAGCCAGTGTTGTACGAAGAACCTGTAAAATCCTCACCACAAGTCCGCGAGTGAACTAAGGGAGGCAACTGTGTCCTATCGCGCATATTTATATAAGTATATAAATAGTCGAAAGCATTTTGTGATTCTATATAAGGCCTGACTGCCATTTGTTGGTATGTGTTAAACTGCGTTAGTCATATATTATGTCATTAAATACACGTCACACTAGGTCCAGCTGGTTGGTGGACGTGTAGGTAAACTTCTGATTTTCTCAGCATTTCCTTCACTAACCACACACATCGTTTGCCAGCGACATAGGTAAAAAAGTACATATTTAATCGTTTTTATTTATATTTCAAAGGCATTTCATACTTTTGACAAGTGAGAGGGATATAGTTTGGAATATATCTTGAATGGGTTTAGCATGTCTCAGAGCTGGAAACTCACAGAAAGGCAAATAAAAAAGTACATTGAGCTTGTACACTAAGGGATTGTTGAGAGGCATATAGAAGTTGGTGAGTATATAAGACGAGTATATGGATGGCAACCTCTTCTTTATTGTATATCACAGCGTTTCTGGGCTACTTCTTGCCCCTTCTTCAGGTGATTTAAGACAGATGTAGAAAACAAACTATATATACCAGATTTATATTCATTGTATATGCATGTACATATCTGGCTTCCTGTAAATCTGGTATATGTAGTTTGTTTTCTACATCTGTCTTAAATCACCTGAAGAAGGGGCAAGAAGTAACCCAGAAACGTTGTGATATACAATATACAAGAAGTTGCCATCCATATACTCGTCTTATGACCCCTCACTCCCAACACTGATCGTGTTTACCAGGACTCCTTAGCTACGTCGCGTCGCAGATCAACGTACGCATGTCGTAGTGTTGCGGTGTATACGGGTGTCACAGTTTACGTCGTTCTTTTCATTCGTTCCTTTCACCAACTACCGAAATTATTTATAAACAAAGCTTAGATTATAGCCGTGCACTGCTTACTTTACAAACAGCAATGTCCAACTTGAACAACATCCAGTCTACAGCTAGACAGTGAAATCATTCAACGGATATTGTTTATGATGTTTCCAGACTGTTCGATACCATTACCATCCCGTGGACATGTGGACACTTAACGATGTCGGTTGAATAAGAATTCGTATCGGCATAGATAAATAAACATGGAATAACGACATTTGTGCTTATCTTCTAGACATCTTAAATTGAAATCTTCAAGGAGGTTCGCGAGTAAAAAATGAATGATTTCACATAAACTCACAAAAGAGAAATAAAATGAAATGTACAAAATATCCCGGAAGCGTTCATCCACACGCCATTTGGAAACACCCAGCTTACATCACCTCCATCACAAAAGAGTTCACTGTCGTAGCTAAGATTTATAAGTAAGATATAGATTCGATAGGCTGAATATATAGCTTCAAGGATAGCACTAATGGCTGTCGTAACTTTGGGGGAAAATCGCGAAATTGTCTTAGCTCAGCCAGCTTCGTGAACAGGCCACCTGTTGTCTCCCCGTTGTAAGAAGCGTGTACAATCTGGACTGGGTGTCGATAGTGGGGAGATTATCATCTCTCAGTCTTTGATTAAAATGTGCTGATTAAATTGTGCATGGGCGAATTAATCAGACACGATGTGCGCGCACCTGTGACGCCTGGCGCCGTGGTCAGTATAGAGTGAATAGTTCCGGGACGTCGACCCCATGAACACAAGGTGAGTACATCTCTATACATGCATAGCAGTTCTAGCAAACGTATATATACTGGACAAAAATGGTTAGGGATATATGTAAATTTTGAAATTATGAATAATGATCTATTTATTCATTGACACACTGATAAAATATCAATATCCATAACCTATTTTACAAAACATAACTGGTATACAAGGTCACAGTGACATGTACATGTATAATTAGTAGATTTGTTACTGTTACATATATAACTGGTATACAAGGTCACAATGACATACACATGTATAACTATACAGTAGATTTGTCACCGTTACAGATGTAACTGGTATACAAGGTCACAATGGCATACACATTTATAACACATACAAGCTCTGGAGGCTCCCTATGCACCCCGGGAATCTGAATTCCAAATATACGTCAACAATGCCTTCATTTCCAATTCGCCACACGACGAATTACACCATAAATCATGACAACTAATCTTATATACTTTCATACTTTCAGCTCCTCATAAAGATGCTGCTGAGAAAAAGGTTTTGCTTCCCGGTGGGAGTTAGCGTCTGTGTTATAGCAATCGTGAAACTGCTTGCCGACATTCTGCAGCCCCATGTGATGACGGGGCGATCAAAGCACGCACCTGCAGCTGAGCTACCTGTAGACTGCCTCGAGAGTAACATCTGCCGCATGGCCATCCAAGACGGGGTCGTCATCTATAGCTACACGCGGCATTATGACTTCTATCACCAGCTCAACCAGCGCGTCAACTACAACGTCAACATCACCAACGACCACGACGTCGTTCCCAGGATAGTTCATCTAGTGTGGGTTAATGAAAAAGGCGTAGAATTTCAATTTTTCCAGTTGCTAACAATGATGGCTATTCAACGTCATGTCCAGCCATTGCGGATATACTTCTGGCATAACAACCTCCCTCAGGGTCACTACTGGCGCCAGGCTATTGCAACAATTAACAACTTGTATTTTGTGTACAGGAAGCGGGTCACTCAGATATACGGACGTAAGATCTTGCGAGGAATTCACGTTTCAGACATCATTCGTATGGAAGCTTTGATGGAGTATGGAGGTATGTATTTTGACTTTGACTCAGTCGTGGTGAATCCAGTCGACCCTTTGTTGAAGTATGACGTTGTCATGGGGCACGAGGAGTGGTACATTCTAGCTAATGGCATGATGTTCTGCAAGCCGTGGTCGGATTTCTTCCGTGTTTGGTACCCTCGCTACGCCACCTTCAACAACGACTTCCAGACTCACTCCAACATTATTCCGAACATCATCTCGCTCCGTAGGCCGAACCTCATCCACATTGAGGAGGTGTCTTTGTGTAAACCCAACTACAAGACACGTCAATATCTGTTCGAAGAAGGTATGTTGTGGGACTGGAGGAGGGACAACTACGTCATACACCTCTACATCCTCGCATACACCCACGCAGGCTACGAAGCCATGACCCCAGAGAACATCAAGTATATGAACACTACTATAGGGGAGGTAACTCGCTACATCTACTACGGGGACAGTAAACTGTGGGGGGTGAGGCCTCTCCCCATGAGGAAAACGTCCTCACCCTAAAATACGGTCTCTTCTTCTTCCCTTAATGCCAAAGTTGTATAAATTGTCCCTTATGTTCCAGCGTATTGCTCACATATTTATGAACACCCGGTGTCACTACTTTTTTATAGTAATTCATACACACATACTCGTGAAATATTTTGAATACTATGGATTCTGATTTCTGGAAAGATTTCTCCTGATTATTGTGAGGGGGTCGTCGGGGTGTTTTTAACGATTTACAGACAATAAGTTTATTTATTTCAATATTTTTTAGGTTATAACAAATTACAATAACGAACATGACCACTGAGATTTAGTACATCGGATCGCCATGGGAGTGTAGTGTATAAATCATGTTTATGATGACAAAATATAACATCTACCAACAACGAACGTTACCCTGGAAACTATTGCATCATGTTGTGCCATCTGAGAATATAGTTTTATTTTAGAGAATATAGTTTTCGCTGGTAATTGACCGGTATACTTAATAGCAATGGCTGACGTTTCCCGTTCAGTCCCTGTGTATCCGTGGGGTTATTCCGCCAACATACCGCTTCAATAAACGTGAATTCTATTAACGTGATTTCAAATGTGTCTGATGATAAAACACACGACAGGTGGACACACATTAGCATGGTCATCACATTAGATTAACACGAGGCTATAAACTGTGATAGATATTCCACTAGGCTATAAACTGTGATAGATATTCCACTAGGCTATAAACTGTGATAGATATTCCACTAGGCTATAAACTGTGATAGATATTCCACTAGGCTATAAACTGTGATAGATATTCCACTAGGCTATAAACTGTGATAGATATTCCACTAGGCTATAAACTGTGATAGATATTCCACTAGGCTATAAACTGTGATAGATATTCCACTAGGCTATAAACTGTGATAGATATTCCACTAGGCTATAAACTGTGATAGATATTCCACTAGGCTATAAACTGTGATAGATATTCCACTAGGCTATAAACTGTGATAGATATTCCACTAGGCTATAAACTGTGATAGATATTCCACTAGGCTATAAACTGTGATAGATATTCCACTAGGCTATAAACTGTGATAGATATTCCACTAGGCTATAAACTGTGATAGATATTCCACTAGGCTATAAACTGTGATAGATATTCTATAAACTGTGATAGATATTCCACTAGGCTATAAACTGTGATAGATATTCCACTAGGCTATAAACTGTGATAGATATTCCACTAGGCTATAAACTGTGATAGATATTCCACTAGGCTATAAACTGTGATAGATATTCCACTAGGCTATAAACTAGGCTATAAACTGTGATAGATAGATATTCCACTAGAGATAGATATTCCACTAGGCTATAAACTGTGATAGATATTCCACTAGAGATATAAACTGTGATAGATATTCCACTAGGCTATAAACTGTGATAGATATAAACTGTGATAGATATTCCACTAGGCTATATTCCAAGGCTGTGATAGATAAACTGTGAGATATTCCACTAGGCTATAAACTGTGATAGATATAGGCTATAGCACTAGTGATAGATATAAAGGCTATAAACTGTGATAGATGTGATAATTCCATATTCCACTAGGCTATAAACTGGCTATAATATTCCTGACATATATGGGCTATATGTGATAGATATAACACAAGGCTATAAACTGTGATAGATATTCCATAGATATAATATTCCACTAGGCTATAACCTGACATATATATTCCACATACATATTCCACAAGGCTATAACCTGAGATATATATGATACATATGATAACCTGATATATATTCCACAAAGCTATAAACTGAGATATATATGGTAGATATGCCAGACAAATGTGAACTCTTTCAACTTTTGTGTTGCGCTTTATGAGTGAGTGGGAGAATTGATTTTACGCCGCTTTTAGCAATATTCCAGTAATATCACGGCGAATGACACCAGAATTGGGCTTCATACATTGTACCCATGGGATGAATCGAGCCCGGATGTTCAGCGTGACGAGCGAACGTTTTAATCATCTGTCTACCCCACCGCCACTGCGCATTATGAGGAAACACTATAGTGTCCATTTGACACAACAAATAACGAAACACAACATCGTGAGACAAAACGTTTTATTTCTATTTTTCATGCCATTATATACCACACCCTGGAGAAAACCGTCACAACATATTTAACACACTTCACATTTCACTGTCTTTGCCCTGTGAAATATTGTTTTACCCGTCACACAACGTGGAACACAAATCCCAAATCCCACTTACATGGGACCTGTAGTTGATGCAGCAAAAACAACATTATACCCCGTCAAAGTTCCATTTACATTACAGTAATTAATGTGCGTATTGGTCCAAGTCAAAGAAGTTTATTGTACAAAAGACCACATATATATATATACGTGTATAAATGCGGTAAGTGATGCGGCTGTATGTTGTATTAATACATGTCTCTTCCTGTTAGTGACATTACGATATAAATATACTGTTACACACAGGAAGATATCTATTAATACTGCAAACAGCCTCATTTCTTACCGCATGCATACCCTAATACCCAGCGATCTACATACATGAACCGATCATTATTTGACGATGAAACCTGATGTAATTCCCTTTCATGACATACAATGAGTATTTACATCGATGAAACAACACGTTTTATGTTGAAATCGCTAACATAGGTTCAATTTCTGTTTTAACTATTCATAGCTCGGTAAGATAGCCCACTGAACCGTCTCCTACACAACTGTCTTCGTAAAGTACACTGGGTGAAATGTCACATCAAGACGCGAGTAGCAACCTCACAACCCCACAACCAGACATGGCGGTAGTACAAGTAATTGAAGATAAATAATCGTGGAAGAATATCGAAGGTTTTAGCATTTATAACCCGGCGGATTACGTCACTGTATATCGTAGAATGTTAACATGTACATTTTAACAGATGTTTAGATCTAATCGTATTGGAAATCTTGAACAGAATATTCATTTGGTGTTCTGTCTAATCGCGATTAGGGTCTAAACACATGAAATGAGCTGTTGTTCCCGCATTAAAACCCTAAACACGTCTAAGTATTAAACATAGTTCTAAACATTATCAGACCCTAAACCCAAGTTACGTGGCATTGAACCGAGTTAGTGTTTTGTTTGGGATTTATGTTATTGAAAGAGATCAGGCAAAAGGCGGGCCTGGTTGTTTTCAACAGAGCAGTGGACATCTACGATTCCAGCTGTTAAACTGGGTAGACCCTCCCACCCATCTGACTGGGTTCCATACGTGATACGTGAAGTTGGCGTCACAACCTTATCTGCATCGCTGAGTAATCTTTAACCTTTATCTCATTTACCAAAATTTGAATTTGTAAAGGAAGAGTAACATCCATTTGTGCTGAGTGATATACTTTCGTCCTTCGAGACATTTCATGTTCTGCTAAAACCGCACAAAGTACAGCAAGTCATAAGTGTACACAAAACATATCCATTATTATTTACGTTTGTAAACAGCCGTAGGAGTGAAACAGAAGTGGTACCATGGAAGACAAAGGCCGCATATCAACCAATCAAGTGTTATGACTATGCACGCACGCACGCACGCACGCACGCACACACACGAAAATAAGGTAATCTTACCGTTAAAGTTGTTTTGCACCCTGCTGAACCATTACACCAAGCTACTGGCATATATATACATAACTGATACATAACTGGTAATAAACTGGCACATCAAAGGACCAATCAGTTGAATTAAACCACGAATGCGCACCCCAGAAGGACACAACGGTCCAGTTCACGCGCTAGTTGTGTTGCATCAAGGTGATGATGTTGTCAACGTGGGTAACGTCACAGCTCGTCAGACAGACGGGCCGACTTCGGCCACCCTCTCTCCAACAGGATCTGCGACTTCTTCACAACAACGTCGACATCCCGTTTGGACGATGGTGCCACGTTCTTGAAGGGGTTGGCAGGATCCAGTAGGAACGGCTTCTTACTGGTACAAAACAAAGCACATTACTGAGCACTGCCCCGATGGCGAGAGTTTCATTATGAGTGAGTGAGTGAGTTTGATTTGACGACGCTTTCAGCAATATGCTAGCAATATCGCGGCGGGGGACACCAGAAATGGGCTTCACGCATTGTACCCATGTGGGGAATCGAACACGGGTCGTCAGCGTGACGAGCGAACGCTTTAACCACTAGGCTACCCCACCGCCCCAGTTTCATCATGGGTGATATAAGCAGTGAAGTCATTGCTCTCTACATCTGTATGGGGAATTTGGTTACTAGCCTGTGACAGGATCCGCTGATCATTTGTTGCCTTGTGTGCCATCACCACACCATGGTAAACGTTCTGAAACTACACTGCAATCTAATTGTGCCTTCTTGTGACATTGGAACCCGTGGAGATCCGGGTTAGCATTGATCTTCAGTAAGCCATGCTTGTCGTAAGAGGCGACCAAAGGAATCGAGTGGTCAGGCTAGCTGACTTGGATGATACATCTCATCGTGTCCCAGTTGTGTAGATCGATGCTCATGCTGTTGATCACTGGATTGTCTGGACCAGACTCGATTATTTACATACCGACGCCATATAGCTGGAATATTGCTGAGTGCGGCGTAAAACTAAACTCACTCACTCTTGCCACATTGGGCGGACAGGTATTATGGATACTGAAGAACCCTTTTTGGTAGCTGCATTAAATAACTCACTCAGGAGAGAAATAGTGCATGACAGCGCAGCAGTTAGCATTATGACGTCAGTACCATTGTCATTTCCATTGTCCGTACTCGATCAAAACTCAACTAGACAGATGCTAGGGATTGAGGTGTTGTGTTCCGACAATGTAACAACTTCCGACATTAACAGGTGTTTGGTTAATTAACACATTGCTGAGGGAGTGTTACATCATTGTTGGAGAAACAAAACAGAGTAGGGCGGTAGTAAGACAATGAAACATGTGTTAATTTGTTACATTTATTTATGAATTAGAACGATTGATTATGTTGTCCAGCTGAGTTATGTCACTTACATATTTGGCACGTAGTCCACGAAGTTGTAGTTGTCGCTGAAGGCGATAGCCATATCTCGGAGCTGAGCCAGTTGTTGGAGGGCCCGGTACAGATAGGTCTCCGTGTCTATGTCCTTGGGCTTGCCATCCTCCCTCCACTGCCGCACGACCAGGAGCTCCAGGAAGTAGGACCTCAACGGGACATCCTCTACCTGGCAGTGTATGGAGAGACTTTACTCACGGAGTAGTCCTTTATCAATCTGACACAGAGACAGCAATCACTGCGCGTCTCCATCCTTTCGAAGGGATAACCAGACTGTCAGTTGGACGTGCTTAAGCTTACACAGAACAGTATTGACTACCAGAGGACGTCGTCAGAGGGACCCTATCAGTGGAAAGCCGGTACACCTACAGAATACCGGATACCCCACCAGCCATATTGTTTAGCGTCACGTCACCCTAACGCTATCCCTGACCCTAAACCTTACCCTAACCCAAACCCTAACCAAAAGTAAACTCGCGGGCTTTCAAAGATAACGGAATGTATCCGGTATTTTGTAATCTTACCGGAATGCCCTTAGCCTTAAACAGAAGCAAGGCCCTATCAGGGGACGTTCTCCACCTTAAACAGAAGCAAGGCCCTATCAGGGGCACGTTCTCCACCTTAAACAGAAGCAAGGCCCTATCAGGGGGACGTCCTCCACCTTAAACAGAAGCAAGGCCCTATCAGGGGACGTTCTCCACCTTAAACAGAAGCAAGGCCCTATCAGGGGGACGTCCTCCACCTTAAACAGAAGCAAGGCCCTATCAGGGGACGTTCTCCACCTTAAACAGAAGCAAGGAGGACCCTATCAGGGGGACGTCCTCCACCTTAAACAGAAGCAAGGCCCTATCAGGGGGACGTCCTCCACCTTAAACAGAAGCAAGGCCCTATCAGGGGACGTTCTCCACCTTAAACAGAAGCAAGGCCCTATCAGGGGGACGTCCTCCACCTTAAACAGAAGCAAGGCCCTATCAGGGGGACGTCCTCCACCTTAAACAGAAGCAAGGCCCTATCAGGGGGACGTCCTCCACCTTAAACAGAAGCAAGGCCCTACCAGGGGGACGTCCTCCACCTTAAACAGAAGCAAGGCCCTATCGGTGAGGGATTCTACTCCTTAAACAGAAGCCAGATCCATGGTCATTGCATTTCTTACAGTCAGAATCTGTTTAAACCTACTTTACACATTTCAGATGTAGCCATAGTTACCAACGTTGATTATAATTATACAAACGACTTTGGGGTAACACAGTCAAGTTTACATCGTGAACTTTACAACAACTACTTCAAGCGAAGTAAGTAGCCTCAACAACACCGATATATTAATGCCGTGCCCCTTGCTGCATACACAAAATGGATGGGTTGGTTGGTTGGTTTTATAGTTTTAGGGCGACGTGGGCCAATAAGAGGCCTATTTGCGCCCAACACATTGACTTGATTTAATAAATAAATCATATGTAATTTCATCGCCAAAAGGAATCGTTTAGCTAAGATAAAAGAAACAACACTATTAATTTGGATAGATGTATACATATATGGAATAACCTCTGCTTCGTGTTACGGATTAAAACCTTAAGTAATCACTTCCATTTCTGAAACATGAAATACTCATTCAATAAAAAGCAGTAGGTTCAGATGACAGAGTGTTAAAATGATTTAAAACCACAGAACTAAATCTGTCTAAGCCATTCGAGAGCCTGTCTAGATTACATCATATTTTCCAGATGACGAGACAAAATCTAAAACTGCCTGTTGCACAGACCCATACATGATATTGGGGCCCAAAACTGTTTCTAATGAGAATACATCATCAACCTCAAGTACAGCACTTCTGAGATTTTGTCTTATGTTGTTATGCCCAGGGCATGTAATTAGATAATGTTCGATGTTTTCAGGCGTCTCCAAATTGCAATGGCCACATTTAGAAGACACCGTCTTATCTATAATACTCCTGTAGGCATTTAGCCCACAGTGTCCAAGTCTTAGACGTGAAAGAATAACCTCATCACGCCTTTTACGACGACGAATTTTATGACCAGATTTTAGTGATGGTCTAAGTACCTGTATCCCACAACTGTTGCCAACTCCTTGTAACAGATTTCGATAAAACATTTTCATAATCTTTAGGGATTGGTTGAAATTTAAATAAATCAACTTCAGGAAACTGTAACCCGGATTTGGCCAAATTATCTGCAATCTCATTCCCATGTATTCTAACATGTGCTGGGACCCACACAATGTCGCATGCAATATACTTCATGTTTAACGATGTATCCAACTTTAATATCTCATGCACAATGTCATCTCTAGATCCATTTGCACCAGCTTCTATAGCTTTGATTGCTGCCATAGAATCTGTAAAGATAATTGCTTCATGGTCATGTTCATCTACCATAGTTACCAACGTTGATTATAATTATACAAACGACTTTGGGGTAACACGGTCAAGTTTACATCGTGAACTTTACAACAACTACTTCAAGCGAAGTTAGTAGCCTCAACAACACCGATATATTAATGGCCATGCCCCTTGCTGCATACACAAAATGGATGGGTGAGTCACCTGGAGTTATCTCCTCTTAATATGTTACATTGAACACCTCTTGTGGAATTACCCCTCCTTGACCAGGTCTGGAAAATGATTTTCATTTTGTTTTCTTTTGGGGGAAACAATAATTAGGGTATGGGTGAGGGTGGATTGGTGGGCGGTTGTGTGCTCACTGACTCATGCTTCAATCCTCTCAACCACCAACCTGCCGACTAGTTTAAACTAAGCAACTGATGATGTACGAACGGAAGTAAACATTCAATATTCTTCGATAGTTCATGTAGGGTGTCAATCGTGACCACAGGGGCGTGTCACGCTTAGAAACAGCGTTAGAACGACATATAGGTATATAGACCCTACCCTAGTACTATATAAAAAGGAAGGGATGGAACGACGGAACCACCCCCTCCTCAATCTAAAACTATTCTTAACAATTTACTGTTCCGTACATCATCCAAAATATAGGATTATTGCAAAGTTCATATTTCGCGCCCATTAGCAAACAGTCAAAATCTTACAGTATATTATGTTTTCCACCAATCGGATGGCCCACTTTCGTTTCTGCGAATCTGCTCAGATCACTTGAATGTCAAGGCCATCAAGTGAGTATGATTGCCGATGGTTTTGGAGAAAATGTCTGCTTACTATCGAGGAAATGATTTGTAGATGTTGCAATAAGTTTTTAGACCCGTGGAATGCCGCTGCCGATCGAATCTAGCCCTACATAGGTGCTGTCAACGAGGCTGGATTTAATAAACGAATTTAACAGGTGAGTTTTCGCTGTCTTGGGTGATCCATGATTTTGGCTTGGAATTGTAGCTGTTTTCGGTGAGTCGTGGCGTATAACTTTTGAAATAATGATCCGATTGTGACCATTTATAGCTCATTTTGTAGGGAACTCATCTCGCTTTTGATCCGTAGGCCTCGACGGGGCCTTAAAAATAGTTTACGTGGTGAAATCTAAATTAGATTGAGGAGGGGGTGGTTCCGTCCTTACATCCCTTTCCTTTTATCTGTTTATATAGTACTAGGGTAGGGTCTATATACCTATATGTCGTTCTAACGCTGTTTCTAAGCATGACACGCCCCTGTGATCGTGAGTAGAGGTACATACCTTCGCCCAGTATTTCAGAAGTCGCATGAAGTCCTTCACCTTCGCCGGGGTTGCCATTCTGTCTGTGTGTGTGACGAACTCGAGTTGCAGGGGGGCCAGGCAGCTGGAGTAGTGGTCCCTGACCTTGGGCTGCTGATCCAGCATCTCCTCATAAATCTCCGACGGCTTACCTGCAAACACAGTAGGGATCCAGAAAGGCGCTAGTACCAGTAGCCCTGTGCTGAAGTGATACTACATGCAGAATTCAATACTTGTCAAGGATAATTCATCCGCTGTGCAATGTCACATTCACGAATAGACTGTGTCCTGAAGGTTTAAACTGTCACAGAAACACCAGCAGGTGTACATGTCCACATAGCCCGTGGCTTTCACACACCACGAACCTGTGCTCGTATAAACACAGGTACTTTTCAATTTCCATTTTCTTTAAAATATCTAAAACATGACTGGAAAAGAACAGCCTGAGGTCAAGTGAATTGCACCTCTACATTCACATTCACTCAAAGTGATCTTATCACATCAAATGCATAGCTATTGTTACTCAAATGTATCCCAGTACCTAAAGCAAAGGCTACATATGAATGGATGCATGAATAAATCAACTACTGCTTCATATTACATTAACTGTACGTTTGCGTCATGTGTACGAGTACTATAACTACTCACGTCCGCTCTTAGTTATGTCTAGCGCCGGTAGCAGGTCCACCTCGTGCTCGGTATCCTCCTCGTCGATCTTCAAGTAGAACTGGACAGAAAACGGTGTTATTTCTTTGTAGATGAAATGGTCCGACCACTCGTCTTGAACAAAGGCCTTCAGCTGCTGCAGCAGTTTGTCTTTGTACTTTTGTAGACCCTTAACGGTGTTGTAGTCGTTGAAGAAGATGATGAGGTCTATGTCCGACTTGTCCCTCACGGATGTGCCCTTGCCCAGTGAGCCACCCTGAATACAAACATCCGGGTGTTTATTACATACATGTGACGCTACTCTGGACGATCAGTTCAAGATGCTGGACGAACCGTTGGGTCGGGTTCGCTGTTTTGGGATCAACAAGCAATCTTGAAGGCTGGTCACGAAACACTGACAGGACGGCTATTTACAATCACTTGTGGTTGGACAACGAAAATATGTGCTGTACGGAAGCTTGTGAAGCTTGTTTATGTCAACAGGGTCTTGGAGATCAAAAATAAAATAAGACTACTGATATAAAATATTAAATTATTTACTGCATGCGTATCAAAAATAAGAAAGGGTGAACGAAAATAGGACAGACTCATCTTTACATCAGCACATTAATCTGGAACGAATTATTTAACATGCTTGCTGTAACTCGTGAGGTGTTTCAACATCGTGGTCGTGTCTGCGCCATTTAATGATAGAATTACATGTATGTTTTACATGCTCAAAACTATGGGCTTTAAGAACACATTCCTGAATTTACATCACCCTTGATTGTAGTATTAAGCTGACCCATTCACTTACAGAAGAACAGGTTCAGGTTTAGTGGTTTGCTTTGTTGTTACTTAAGATTGTTTATGTCGATGGCCGGTTTTCGATCACCCAAGATGCCCTTGACACGCATATATAAACATGTATAAAAGCATAATTATTCAAATATGTCATTGTAATGAGCACGACACTAAAGGTGATCTCACACTTCCATGTGTGTGTTTAAACATAGTATTGACCAGTGATGATACAGATGGTGACACGTAGCTCCTGTCACACCCATAGCATGTCATAACAACAACCGTTACATGATTCAGATACTTGATAGAGCGGTGTAAAACACAATTCACTCACTCACACACAGACTACTATCAGTGCATATTGAAATTATGTGCATTTCAACTTCATATTGAGAGATATTCTATCAATGAAACCAAACAGAATGGCTGTTGTAAAATTAGGTTTCGTATAACATCTCTACAAGATGTGCTTCATGACTATTATCACCAATGTATGAGCGAGCGTGTACCTTTACAATTCCCTTTATGTTGAAGGGACTTGACTTTGCCTGTAGTGTGCGGACAAGCTTGTCGATTATCTCGGAACATCGCTTATTAAAGCTTGTGCTTGGACGCAATGTTCTGTCTATAAACTTGGTCAGCGTCTCTCCATGGTTCATGCCTGGTAGAAGGGGGTTGTCGGTGTCCAGTCTGCTGGGCGGATCCTACAACAGAGATAGCTGGCATCAGCTTCAAGAAGTGGTCGTCATACTGACGGCCTTCCTGGGCCCCGTTCCTCAAAGCGATCGTAACTCGATCGTAACTCCCATACTTTAACATTGACTTACGACTGCCGCTGGCGCTTTGACGGTTCGATAGCACGGCGCGGGGAGGTGGAGTGTTTAACGTTTATTCGTTTAAAGACTTTAATAAAACACTGTTGGTAAATACCAATGTGGGAGTAATCTCCCTTGAGTTGTAACGCTCGGCGCAGTACGCAATAAACGTTGAGTCTCGTGACCCACATACAATGTACAGACTTAATTCTTCATCAACAAGCAAACTCATCAACAACAAACATCACAGGAGGATGTCGTGATTCTGTCGGGGTGGTCGTAATTCAGTCTGGGTGGTCGTGATTCTTTCGGGGTGGTCGTGATTCAGTCGGGGTGGTCGTGATTCTGTCGGGGTGGTCGTGATTCAGACTGGGGTGGTTGTGATTCAGTCTGGGTGGTCGTGATTCTGTCGGGGTGGTCGTGATTCAGTCTGGGGTGGTCGTGATTCTGTCGGGGTGGTCGTGATTCTGTCGGGGTGGTCGTGATTCTGTCGGGGGTGGTCGTGATTCAGTCAGGCAGTGGTCGTGATTCTGTCGGGTTGGTCGTGATTCAGTCAGGCAGTGGTCGTGATTCTGTCGGGGTGGTTGTGATTCTGTCGGGGTGGTCGTGATGGTCGTGATTCTGTCGGGGTGGTCGTAATTCTGTCGGGGTGGTCGTGATTCAGTCAGGGTGGTTGTGATTCAGTCTGGTTGGTCGTGATTCTGTCGGGGTGGTCGTGATTCAGTCAGGGTGGTCGTGATTCTGTCGGGGGTGGTCGTGATTCTGTCGGGGGTGGTCGTGATTCAGTCAGGCAGTGGTCGTGATTCTGTCGGGTTGGTCGTGATTCAGTCAGGCAGTGGTCGTGATTCTGTCGGGGTGGTTGTGATTCTGTCGGGGTGGTCGTGATGGCGTGATTCTGTCGGGGTGGTCGTAATCTGTCGGGGGTCGGTTCAGTCAGTGATTCTTCAGTCAGGGTGGTCGTGATTCTGTCAGGGTGGTCGTGATTCTGTCGGGATGGTGGTGATTCGTGATTCTGTTGGGGTCGTGATTCTGTCAGTGTGGTCGGTCGTGTCATTCAGTGGGCAGTGGTCGTGATTCAGTCAGGGTGGTCGTGATTCAGTCAAATGGTCGTGATTCTGTCAGGGTGGTCGTGATTCAGTCGTGGGTGGTCGTGATTCTGTTGGGGTGGTCGTGATTCAGTCTGGGTGGTCTGTGATTCTTGTCAGGGTGGTCGTGATTCTGTCGGGGTGGTCGTGATTCTGTCAGGGTGGTCGTGATTCAGTCAGGGTGGTCTCGATTCTGTCGGGGTGGTCGTGATTCTGTCGGGGTGGTCGTGATTCTGTCGGGGTGGTCGTCAGGGTGGTCGTGATTCAGTCAGGCAGGGTCGTGATTCTGTCAGGGTGGTCGTGATTCTGTCAGGCAGTGGTCGTGATTTCTGTCGGGTGGTCGTGATTCTGTCGGGGTGGTCGTGATTCTGTCGGGGTGGTTGTGATGGTCGTGATTCTGTCGGGGTGGTTGTGATTCTGTCGGGGTGGTCGTGATTCAGTCAGGGTGGTTGTGATTCTGTCGGGGATGGTCGTGATTCTGTCGGGGTGGTCGTGATTCAGTCAGGCAGTGGTCGTGATTCTGTCGGGTTGGTCGTGGATTCTGTCGGGGTGGTCGTGATTCTGTCAGGGTGGTCGTGATTCTGTCCGGGATGGTCGTGATTCTGTCAGGGGTGGTCGTGATTCTGTCCGGGTGGCCGTGATTCAGTCAGGCAGTGGTCGTGATTCTGTCGGGGTGTTCGTGATTCAGTCAGGGTGGTCGTGATTCTGTCGGGGGTGGTCGTGATTCAGTCTGGTTGGTCGTGATTCTGTCGGGGTGGTCGTGATTCAGTCTGGGTGGTTGTGATTCTGTCCGGGTGGTCGTGAATCTGTTGGGGGTGGTCGTGATTCTGTCGGGGTGGTCGTGATTCAGTCTGGGTGGTCGTGATTCAGTCGGGGGTGGTCATGATTCAGTCTGGGCAGGCATGATTCTGTCAGGATGGTCGTGATTCTGTCGGGGTGGTTGTGATGCCGTCAGAGTGGTCGTGATTCTGTCTGGGTGGTCGTGATTCTGTCCGGGTGGTTGTGATTCAGTCAGGGTGTACGTGATTCAGTCAAGTGGTCGTGATTCTGTCCAGGCAGGCGTGACTCTGTCGGAGTGGTCGTGATTCAGTCAGAGTGGCCGTGATTCTGTCAGAGTAGTCGTGATTCTGTCAGGGTGGTCGTGATTCTGTCAGGGTGGTTGTGATTCTGTCCGGGCAGGCGTGATTCTGTCGGGGTGGTTGTGATTCAGTCAGGGTGCTCGTGATTCAGGAAGGGTGGTCGTGATCCTGTCGGGGTGGTCGTGGTTCTGTCTGGGTGGTCGTGATTCTGTCGGGGTGGTCGTGATTCAGTCAGGGTGGTCGTGATTCTGTCAGGGTGGTCGTGATTCTATCCAGGGTGGTCGTGATTCTGTCCAGGTGGTCGTGATTGATTCAGTCTGGGTGGTCGTTTCTTCGGGTAAATGGTGTGATTCTGTCAGAGTGGATCTGTAAGTAAATGATTCTATGATTCTGTCGGAGTGGTCGTGATTCTGGGATGGGTTGATGATTCTGTCGAGGTGGTAAATGATTCAGTCAAGTGGTCGTGATTCTTTCAGGGTGGTGATTCTGTCCAGGTAGGTCATGATTCTTCTATCCAGGGTAATGGTCATGATTCTATCCGTGATTCTGTCGAGTGGTCGTGATTCTGTCCGAGGTGGTCGTGATTCTTTAGTCGGATTCTGTCCGGGTCGATTGATTCAGTCAGGGCAACGGAGTCATGTAAGTTTTTGTCCTAGGGTAGTCGTGATTCAGTCAGGGTGGTCGTGATTCTGTCAGGGGTGGTCGTGATTCAATCAGGGTGGTCGGATTCTGTCTGGGTGGTCGTGATTCTGTCAGTGGTCGTGATTCTGTCAGAGTGGTCGATGATTCTATCAGGTAGGCATGATTCTGTCAGGGTGGTCGGATTCTGTCTGGGGTGGTCGTGATTCAGTCAGGGTGGTCGTGATTCTGTCTGGGTGGTCGTGATTCTGTCCAGGTGGTCGTGATTCTGCTCGGGTGGTCGTGGATTCTGTCCTGGGAGTGGTCGGATTCTGTCGGGGTGGTCGTGATTCTGTCAGGGTGGTCGTGGTCCTGTCAGTGGTGGTCGTTTCTGTCGGGGGTGGTCATGATTCAGTCTGGGCAGGCATGATTCTGTCAGGATGGTCGTGATTCTGTCCGGGTGGTTGTGATGCCGTCAGAGTAGTCGTGATTCTGTCTGGGTGGTCGTGATTCTGTCCAGGTGGTTGTGATTCAGTCAGGGTGTACGTGATTCAGTCAAGTGGTCGTGATTCTGTCCAGGTAGGCGTGACTCTGTCGAGATGTCATGATTCAGTCAAGTGATTCTGTCAGGAGTGGTCGTGATTCAATCAAGGGTGGTCGTGATTCAGTCAGGCAGTGGTCGTGATTCTGTCAGGGTGGTCGTGATTCTGTCAAGGTGGTGATTCTGTCCAGAGGTGGTAAATGATTCTGTCGTATGGTTGGTCGTGATTCTGTCAGGGTGGTCGTGATTCTGTCAAGGGTGGTCGTGATTCTGTCCGGGTGGTCGTGATTCTGTTCAGGGTGGTCGTGATTCTGTCGGGTGGTCGTGATTCTGTCAGGGTGGTCGTGATTCAGTCGGGTGGTCGTGATTTTCCGGTCATGATTCTGTCAGGGTGGTCGTGATTCTGTCAGGTGGTCGTGATTCAGTCAGAGTGGTCGTGATTCTGTCAAGGGTAGTCGTGATTCTGTCCAGGTGGTTGTGATCCAATCCAAGTGTACGTGGATTCAGAAAGGGTGGTCGTGATTCTGTCAGGGTGGTCGTGATTCTGTCCAGTGGTCGTTATTCTGTCGGGTGGTCGTGATTCTGTCAGGGTGGTCGTCCGACAGGCAATGATTCTGTCCGGGTGGTCGTGATTCAGATTCGTGATTCAGGGAGTGGTCGTGATTCTGTCAAGGGTAGTCGTGATTCTGTCCGGGTGGTCGTGATTCTGTCGGGTGGTCGTGATTCATTCTGATTCTGTCAGGGTGGTCGTGATTCTGTCCAGGCAGTCGTGATTCTGTCCGGGTGGTCGTGATTCTTCTCGGGTTGGTCGTGATTCTGTCCGGGTGGTCGTGATTCTGTCGTGGTCGTGGTTCTGTCAGAGTGGCAGTCGTGATTCTGTCGCGGTAGTCGTGATTCTGTCCAGGGTGGTCGTGTGATTCAGGATTCGGGTGGTCGTGATTCTGTCAGGGTGGTCGTGATTCTGTCAGGGGTGGTCGTGATTCTTGTCCGGGCAGTCGTGATTCTGTCCGGGTGAGTCGTGATTCTGTCAGGGTGGTCGTGATTCTTTCGGGGTGGTCGTGATTCTGTCGAGTTGGTCGTGATTCTGTCCGGGTGGTCGTGATTCAGTCAGGGTGGTCGTGGTTCTGTCCGGGTGGTCGTGATTCAGTCAGGGTGGTCGTGGTTTTGTCGGGGGTGGTCGTGATTCAGTCAGAGTGGTCGTGATTCAGGCGGGGAATGGTCGTGATTCAATCAGGGTTGTCGTGATTCAGTCTGGGTGGTCGTGATTCTGTTGCGGTGGTCGTGATTCTGTCAAGAGTGGTCGTGATTCAATCAGGGTGGTCGTGATTCAGTCAGGGTGGTTGTGATTCTGTCCGGGTGGTCGTGATTCAGGCACGGTGGTCGTGATCCTGTCGGGGTGGTCCTGGTTCTGTCCGGGTGGTCGTGATTCTGTCGGGGTGGTCGTGGTTCTGTCCGGGTGGTCGTGGCTCTGTCCGGGTGGTCGTGATTCTGTTGGGGTGGTCGTGATTCTGTCCGGGTGGTCGTGATTCTGTCCGGGCAGGCGTCGTTTCTGTTGGGGTGGTCGTGTTTCTGTCAGGGTGGTCGTGATTCTGTCCGGGCAGGCGTGATTCTGTCGGGATGGTCGTGATTCTGTCGGGGTGGTTGTGATTCCGTCAGAGTGGTCGTGATTCTGTCTGGGTGGTCGTGATTCTGTCCGGGTGGTTGTGATTCAGTCAGGGTGTACGTGATTCAGTCAAGTGGTCGTGATTCTGTCCAGGCAGGCGTGACTCTGTCGGAGTGGTCGTGATTCAGTCAGAGTGGCCGTGATTCTGTCAGAGTAGTCGTGATTCTGTCAGGGTGCTCGTGATTCAGGAAGGGTGGTCGTGATCCTGTCGGGGTGGTCGTGGCTCTGTCCGGGTGGTCGTGATTCTGTCGGGGTGGTCGTGATTCTGTCGGGGTGGTCGTGATTCTGTCTGGGTGGTCGTGATTCTGTCGGGGTGGTCGTGATTCTGTCAGGGTGGTCGTGATTCTTTCGGGGTGGTCGTGATTCTGTCCGGGTGGTCGTGATTCTGTTGGGGTGGTCGTGATTCTGTCCGGGTGGTCGTGATTCTGTCTGGGTGGTCGTGATTCTGTCAGGGTGGTCGTGATTCAGTCAGGGTGGTCGTGGTTCTGTCCGGGTAGGCGTGATTCTGTCGGGGTGGTTGTGATTCAGTCAGGGTGCTCGTGATTCAGGCAGGGTGGTCGTGATCCTGTCGGGGTGGTCGTGGTTCTGTCCGGGTGGTCGTGATTCTGTCGGGGTGGTCGTGATTCTGTCGGGGTGGTCGTGATTCTGTCTGGGCAGGCGTGATTCTGTCCGGGTGGTCGTGATTCAGTCAGGGTGGTCGTGGTTCTGTCGTGATTCGTGGGTGGTCGTGATTCTTTCCGGGTGGTCGGGATTCTGTCTGGGCAGGCGTGATTCCTTCGGGGTGGTCGTGATTCAGTCAGAGTGGCCGTGATTCTGTCAGAGTAGTCGTGATTTTGTCGGGGTGGTCGTGATTCTTTCTTGGCAGGCGTGATTCAGGCAGGCTGGTCGCGGTTCTGTCGGGGTGTCGTAATTCAGGCAGTGGTCGTGATTCTTTCGGGTGTCGTACTTCAGGCAGTAGTCGTGATTCGGTCGGGGTGTCGTCATTGACACTGGGTGATTGTAATGCAGGCAGAGAGGTCGAGACACATGCAGTGCTACAAATATCCTGCTACACTGAGTCAGCCTTGAGGACCTATGGGTGTCTGGCGTGTGCATGTTTTTTTCTAAACTTACCGGGCTTCCACTTCCGACGCTGTTGGACCGCCTTTTAGCATCTAGAAAACAGTATATTGAAACAGCATGGGTGAACGTCCCTTTACCAGCACTGATCTAGATGACTAAGTTAGGTTAGATTGCACTTTGATAATAATAAATGTTCAGGTAATGCTCATCCAGGTAAAACATTCTTACCGATGTGAAGGTAACTAAACAGGCAGACCTTCCACTATAAACTAACACAGAAAAACTGGACCACTGACGTAAAGGTGATGAGATATACCGAGCTTCAAATTCGGAAATACTGAATATACCTTGTGAAGCAGTCCCAGCGTTTTACAATACGTCGAAATTGATGGTTTTCAGAATATAGGTTCGGTTCCTAAATAAGGTCGGTTTTCCAAACGCCACTTTTTAACAAACGGTGCGGTTCTTCTGTTTGGAGAATATACCGTCACTGCACAAGATGAACGTACCTGCCGATGTGGAGAGAAACACTAGTAGAGCTGCCGACATGAACAGCAGGTTACAGGCGCGTAGCTTCATAGTCCTTGGAGTATTGTGATGTGTTCACTCTCTGCAGTCACTAGTTAGACATCAATACCAGTCAGCCGAATGTACACGTTGCGTCGTCAATGCCTATTTATCTTAACTAAAACGAAAGTAGAAGTTAACGGTACTTCCCTGAACGCCAAACACCGTTCTCGACAAGCAGAAAATAAAACCAAAAGTGAAACTGCATTGACACATCAGCAGATCATTGAACGTGGAACTCGATAATTGATCATTTATCTCATCGATGACTGAGCACTTTTTCATTCGTGTAAAAGAACACGGCCATAACACTATACCAAAATTGATAACACACCAATTCTTGAAAAAAACACCTTCAGTTCACACAGTGTGCACTAAACTGAAAAGCATTAATTAAATCAAGTAATGTGCCATCAATTACTCATTTTAGATCGTGACCAGTTATGTCTGTGTGTTCAGTTCAGTTCTCCTACTCAAGTTTTTGAGAGAATATTTCTCTCCGAGTGGAAAGATGCCGATTGAATGAAAACAGTTAACGTTGCTTGTAATGAAATGTTGTAGCCACATCAGGCAGTGTTTAACACGGATGACCAATACACTGTATCCAGTTGGCAGTGTTTAACACGGATGACCAATACACTGTATCCAGTTGGCAGTGTTTAACACGGATGACCAATACACTGTATCCAGTTGGCAGTGTTTAACACGGATGACCAATACACTGTATCCAATACACTGTATCCAGTTGGCGGTGTTTAACACGGATGACCAATACACTGTATCCAGTTGGCAGTGTTTAACACGGATGACCAAATACACTGTATCCAGTTGGCAGTGTTTAACACGGATGACCAATACACTGTATCCAGTTGGCAGTGTTAAACACGGATGACCAATACACTGTATCCAGTTGGCGGTGTTTAACACGGATGACCAATACACTGTATCCAGTTGGCGGTGTTTAACACGGATGACCAATACACTGTATCCAGTTGGCAGTGTTTAACACGGATGACCAATACACTGTATCCAGTTGGCGGTGTTTAACACGGATGACCAATACACTGTATCCAGTTGGCAGTGTTTAACACGGATGACCAATACACTGTATCCAGTTGGCAGTGTTTAACACGGATGACCAATACACTGTATCCAGTTGGCAGTGTTTAACACGGATGACCAATACACTGTATCCAGTTGGCAGTGTTTAACACGGATGACCAATACACTGTATCCAGTTGGCAGTGTTTAACACGGATGACCAATACACTGTATCCAGTTGGCAGTGTTTAACACGGATGACCAATACACTGTATCCAGTTGGCAGTGTTTAACACGGATGACCAATACACTGTATCCAGTTGGCGTGTTTAGTGTTTAACACGGATGACCAATACACTGTATCCAGTTGGCAGTGTTTAACACGGATGACCAATACACTGTATCCAGTTGGCAGTGTTTAACACGGATGACCAATACACTGTATGTTGGCAGTGTTTAACACGGATGACCAATACACTGTATCAGTTGTATCCAACCAATACACTGTATCCAGTTGGCAGTGTTTAACACGGATGACCAATACACTGTATCCAGTTGGCAGTGTTTAACACGGATGACCAATACACTGTATCCAGTTGGCAGTGTTTAACACGGATGACCAATACACTGTATCCAGTTGGCAGTGTTTAACACGGATGACCAATACACTGTATCCAGTTGGCAGTGTTTAACACGGATGACCAATACACTGTATCCAGTTGGCAGTGTTTAACACGGATGACCAATACACTGTATCCAGTTGGCAGTGTTTAACACGTGTTTAACACGGATGACCAATACACTGTATCCAGTTGGCAGTGTTTAACACGGATGACCAATACACTGTACCAATACACTGTATCCTGTAGTTGGCAGTGTTTAACACGGATGACCAATACACTGTATCCAGTTGGCAGTGTTTAACACGGATGACCAATACACTGTATCCAGTTGGCAGTGTTTAACATCGGATGACCAATACACTGTATCCAGTTGGCAGTGTTTAACACGGATGACCAATACACTGTATCCAGTTGGCAGTGTTTAACACGGATGACCAATACACTGTATCCAGTTGGCAGTGTTTAACACGGATGACCAATACACTGTATCCAGTTGGCAGTGTTTAACACGGATGACCAATACACTGTATCCAGTTGGCAGTGTTTAACACGGATGACCAATACACTGTATCCAGTTGGCATTAACACTTTAACACGGATGACCAATACACTGTATCCAGTTGGCAGTGTTTAACACGGATGACCAATACACTGTATCCAGTTGGCAGTGTTTAACACGGATGACCAATACACTGTATCCAGTTGTGGGGAATCTCAAGACGATGGTCTTCCTCTTCGGCGTGTCATATATCTGGAGTAACAATGCTCGTGATCCTGCTAAAAATCCAATAAGGCTTGTAACGCAGAAACTAGCATCAAAATATATATTGTGTCTGCTGGGGTCTCAGCAGTTTAATAAGGATGGGACCCCTGCCCATTCCCTGTGTCAGAATCAACCCTCTCCCAAACTGTATACCAATACCACTATTCCTGAGCGGGGTTCTTGGTCACCCCGTAAGGCGTTGTTCAGCCATGTTACTGGGAACGGGGTTCTCCAGAGATGTTCCTCTAGTGCTACTAGATCTCAGAGGCCAATCGGTTGGTCTGTCTCACTTAAATCAGATCTTAACTCTCGCTACCTCTAAACCAAGATCTGAGGACATTATGTGTCACGTTAGAAAAGCTCTTCATCCAACCAGTCAGGGCGTCGGTTACAGGACTGGGAATATGACAGTCGGGATGTGTTTTCTAATCATGAAACCTCCAAGAGATTAACAATGTGTATTCTGATTGATTCCCTAAATATCACCGCCGATCTCGCGCTTCATTTGCATAAACATCCGACTGACTGACTGAGTTTGGCTTTACGCCGCGTTTAGCAATATTCCAGCAACATCACGGCGGGGGACACCAGAAATGGGCTTCACACATTGTACCCATGTAGGGATTCGCACCCGGGTCTTCGGCGTGACGAGCCAAGGCATTAACCATTAGGCTACCCCACCGCCCCCCATAAACATCCGAAACGGAGGAGACGTTCCATTGTCCATAAGGACAACTGCTATACCGTGTCAACCATATATTAGTTATGTTCAATATTCACATTTTCAATAGAGAATTTACACAAAATGTTTTTTAACCATAGGCTGGAATGGAAGTCGCCAGCTTGAAAGTTTCCCCGTAATGCTCGAGGAAACTGCTAACAATTTGTTATTTTATTGGCTGATCAACGTTTCCGAAAGGTCGAGCTGACCTTACCCAAAATGGCATGCCTTCAGACCATGTTACCAGTTATCATGACGTGTATTTGTCAATACAACATCTGCGTAGGTCAGAGAAATCAGGTCTTTCCCGCGTAAGCATGCGCTAAGATCTATTCTTAGCCGTTGTGTAAAATATGTTATTGAGTCTCTAACAATACAAGCGTTCTGATTCCTCGAATCGAAACGAAAACGGTTTACAGCAATGGGTAAAAAGACCAAATCTATTTTTATCGTTTAAGTAACATGTGTTATTGATTCTCAAACAATACAAACGTTCTGATTCCTTGAATCGAAACGAAACCGGTTTACAGCAATGGGTAAAAGCGCAAAATCTATTCTTATCCTTTAAGTAACATGCGTTGTTGATTCTCTAACAATACAAGTGTACTGATTCCTTGAATCAAAACGAAAACTGTTCACAGCAATGGCTTATGGGCAAGAAAGCACACAAAAACCGTACAGAGTGACACAATCATATCCAATACACATGTGCATTAATCAAGCACCACCCACTTTCTTCATATTGGTACCAAAATACTAGGGTTGCGCAATATAACCGGTTTATGTTCAGACATGAAAACGATACGTATTGCGATATGCTGATCGAAACCGGTATTTTGACTTGCACTCGGAAAACTTCGTAACACTCGGAAATCTCGGATATTTCCTTGTTTCATTTGTGCCAAATATTAAATACATTTCTATTTTGTCATGATTAAAGGTTGTTGTTAAAGCTGAATCAGGAATAGTTATTTTGTTGTGTTTTTGCTCTATAACTGAAGCTTTAAGTAGTTTTTGGTTTTAAAATACTTCTTGTAATATATTGCAATACATATCGCAATATATGCTTTCGCATCGCAATATATTACAATATGAAAATACTCTGCAATACCAACCCCTAGAAATGACTACATATGTATGCTTTGAAAATCGAAATTTGGTGTATCAATGATGCAGCTACATTATGTAATATTATACAGTCATGTACATATTTAGTTTTAAGTCATTTAACAGTTTTATGGGTATTTATATTATCAGTTGCCTTCAGGGTTACAGATGGAACGAGTACAAATGAATGCTTTTTTCTGTCTCCATGTGCCAGAACAGCCGGTAGAATAGAAGATAACGACTGTCATCAGACTAACGAATCCTGTGCCATGTCTTCACGTCGTGGTGTTCTCGGTGTCTGCGCCACACCAGAAGTCCCTGCATGCGCATGTCTGTGAAGAATGGATGAAGTACCCTCAGACCAACATCCCGCAGCCTCCTGATGATGGTACTGGTGGAGAGTCGGACTCCCACTCTCTATTGCCAGCGCAGTTCTTTGGCAGGGGTCACGGGATTGTATCTTTCTTACGGTCGGGTCATCACTGTCATTGATGTCCTATGGTCGTCCAGACCTTCGGACATCCTCTACCTCACCACGTGTTTCAGCACAAGGCGACCAATAACTGTCGTTAATGTTTAAGTTGTCACCAGTGTTGCCATAGGAAATCCCTCATGTGATCCCTGGTTTGGACTAAGTTTTATAAAATAGCCCTTGGATTCAGGTGGTGCTTCATCAATATTGTTTAAAAATGTTTGCTGTAACCAATATTTGATATACCGGGATCAGTACTGCTGTCACAGCAATCCCAGAACACTGTGATAGATGAAACACATATACCTGGATCATTAGAAGTCACAGCAATCTGAGTGTCACAAGAGCTACTCTAGATATACCAGGATCAGTAGAGAAGTCAC